ATGTCCTGAAACCTCATGAGGACATCAAATAACTGCAGTGTCTCTTGGTGTAGATTTCTGCTCTATGAGGAACTACAAAGTACTGAAGCACATGAAATGTAACTCCAAACTAAAGCTCATGCCAAAATGTTACAGTAACTCTCACTGCCAGAGAAATGTCCACAGAGTTAAAATACAAACGAACAAGTTAACATAGAGACCGAAATAAATGTACCTTAAATTAGCTAGTGAACATTAGCTATTAATTTAACAAGCTAGCTAGCTATCTAACACGCTCATGGATATATAAAGGATGAATAAGAGAATACTCCGTTCATTCCTGTGAGTTATTCAGTGGTACCTGAAGCCCAAAGTGGAGCGAATGTAGACTCTGAAAGTACCCGGATGTGGGCCCATAGAGCATGCGCAGTTGAGTTTCTCTTAAGCCCCGCCTCTGATCTCCCGCTCTGTGTCAGTCAGATCAAAGCCGCATAGAGAGTGCATATTGGTCCATTTCAGAATAATATAAATGATATGTTTGATAAAGATTGATCATGAAAGTGTTCTCAAAGCTGGTAAAGGTGCAGCTAGTTTGAATGACTTTGTATACTGCAGGGTAGCTTGTGGATTTACTCCAGGTGGAACTAAAGTCTGATTTAACACTTGGTTATATTTCACATCATTCATCCACATCTGTAAAGTAACTAAAGGGATTAAATACATGTAGAGGAGTGAGTTACATTTCCACATATTGGCCACATTTGTTCGACATCTTGAATCCCTACTTTGAATTACTACTTTATAAATTAGTTAATGTGTATAACTGGTTAATTTAATGTTTTAATAGTTTACAGGTTTTTTTCGGAAAACTTAGGTATACTTTTTGTTAAAGTTTGGTAACATTCTCAATGCAGGACTTGGAGTATTTATTTAGGGTTTAGTATTAGTACTTTTAGTAAACGACCTGTAAATGTGCTTCATTAAAAAATATATAAGGCAAGGTTTTTTCTCCATACAGAATCATGTTTCAAGTCATTGTTTTATTGTGAAACCCGGATGCAGCGTGTTGTTGCTGTTGCTGAGTGTGACAGAGCTCAGTTCGGATCAGCTGATGGGAACTGACTCACCTCTTCCCGGACAACATGTCGACACATCCAGCGAGAAAGAAGAAGAAAGAGGACTTCATTCTTTAATTATCTCCGGGAGGAACAGAGCGAGCTGCTGGATCCGGATTCAGGTACAGCTCAGATGTACACACGAGGGGAAACAACACGCGCTGTTTCTTCATTCTGGGTTATCATTTTATATCAGTTTGAGTCGATTAACACTCGTTTGACTAATCGTTACATTTAATGAATTAAAAATCACTAGTTCTTTAAATCTGAGTTTTAAAAGCACTACTTGATATCTAGTGTATTCCAGAGATGTGCTTTGACGTTTTGCATGGAAACAAGTCATATATCATGAACAAAGTAATACAAATAAAATAATAATTTGAATCTTAGTCGACACCTAGGATTAAGTCAAAGAATTGATTCCATACATTGATCAAAATATCTGTAAAACTGATCAAATCATGGGAATCAAAACTTTCCAACTTATTTTCAGCTGGAAATATGCGTTTATGTTTCTAACAATGAAGTATTCAGCATGACACATGACTAATGACCTAATTCTTTGATTTCAATGAACAGATAAATGGGACTAATACTGAGATTATCTGGAGAGAAAAATGCAAAAGCCCCACTTTAAATATTATTTGGACCAAATGTGTCCTCATTAGTTTCTTGAAAATAAGTTGTTCAGCATGATGAAAGCAAATAAAGACTAAGCCACTAACGACCTTCCTCAATTAACGCCACATGTAGTCGAATCATTGGTTCCATAAATCCCCCCCCCCCCCCCCCCCATGCCTCAAAGCCTTCATTGGACTCCTTTGTTTACCTCAGGAACATAGTGACATCACTATTGTAACACATTGTACGTGAACTTGGCTAAGGGGCGGGACATTAACTGTGCGATATATACCTGACTGCTGAACTGCTACAGGATGTGTATTTTGTAAATTGTGTAATCTCTTTTTTAAAAATCTTTAATATTGTTGTATGTTTCTTAACATTAAGCTGACTGTGGCTCTTTTCTGCTGTAACAACGTCTTTCTGTGGGACGAATAAAGGGATTCTGATTCTGATCTGTAAATAGTGGACCAATCACAACAGAATGATTTCTGACCTACTTTTCAGAATTTAACTTTTTTCAGAATTTAACTTTTTCTTCCAAATTTTTGAAGAATGTTTTTTTAAGAATTCTGACTTTTTTTGTCAAAGATTTTTCCCGAAAAGAGAGGGGGTCTTTGTTCCTGAAACTTCACCCAGGATTATGACTTTTGTCCCAGGATGCTTATGGAAGAGGATTTAGGCCATGTGAGCAACAATTTGAGATCTGAACGAGAGATGTTTTTGTTTTATTAGAATTTTTCCTTTTAATTTTGACTTATTTTCCGAATGTTTAGTTTTCTCAGAATTAACTTTTTTACTGCGAATTTTGAATTTTCAAAAAACATAATACAATGAAAAATGATAACTCAGTACAAACATTAAAAAAAGTAATTCATATTACAAAAAACATTAATTAAATATAGATATTTTTAAGTGCCTGGATGTATGCATATATTGAAACACTTAGCCTTTTATAAGTTTATAAATTATGCTATATCTATATAGATATATATATATATATATATTACGGCAGAGAAAAAATATAGATATTAGATTGAATACAAGAAGAAAGACAGGAAGAGGGATCTAATTATTATCTTTTTTGTCAGACAGACTCCTGTGTGACTCCATGCCCTCCTCGTCCTCCTCTTCCTTCTCCTTCTCGCCGTGGTGAAGAGTAACCAGATTAAAGATGTCCGCTGTGATGGGGGGGGTCTCCTCCTCCGCCCTCAGGGCTCCTGGGGGGGCTCTGGTTCTCCTGCTCTCCGTCACGCTGCTGTCTGGGTTCAGCCCGCTGTGCATCGCTCGGGGAGGGGGCTGCTGCAGCATGGACCCACGTAATCATGATCATAATCATACTAACTAATTACAATACTACAAATAATGATAGTAGGAATTAAAAATAATAATAATGATGAAAATAATAATAATACTAATGTTAATAAAATATTAACTATTACTGTATGTACTTTAACTAATTTTTACAGATAATACTTTTACCTAAATTAGGTTTTGAATATATATATATACTTCTTTACTTGTAGTGGAGTATTTTCACAGTGAGGTATCTGAAGCAGCAGGCGTCAGGTTGATCCCTGAGCGTTGTCTTGCAGGTTTTCGGCGCAGGCTGCTCAGCCTGATCAGCTGTTTTGCAGGAGGAGTGTTTTTGGCCACCTGTCTGCTGGAGCAGCTGCCGGACTACCTGCAGAGCATCGAGGAGGCCTTCAGAAGCGCGGGGGTCACAGTACGATGATATAACACACACACGCACACGCACACGCACGCACATTTAATTAACTTATGTATTGATTTTGTCATAAGGTCAAGAGACAAACACACTCGGGGTGTTTCTCAATGTCGAGGAAAGCTGCTCCAGCGCCACTATTTCAAGGATACTACGTCATCGGGTGCCGTCGAAGGACTTTTCAGATGTCCAGCATACATGTGCTACCAAGCAAGCCTCCTCGACATTGAGAAACACACACACACACACACACACACACACACACACACACACACACACACACACACACACACACAGGAACGCCACATGACTTCACGTCACCACCGCTAAGCTAATGTTCTCACATCACCACGCTAAGCTAAAGGCGGCTAATGTTTGTTCTCCTTTAGACACTTTCGATATCAAATCCGAGTCATCGTTCACCCTCGTCAGCGGCGTCTTCTTCTCTCCCCAAAGCTTCAGTTCCCTCTGCCTGAGTTCATCATGGCGATGGGTTTCTTCCTGGTTCTGGTTCTGGAGCAGGTCATCCTGGCCTTTAAGGACCAGCCTCAGATGAAGGAGTGTCGCGCTCTGCTGCCGAACTCCAGCGCCAACTCCCACCGCCACGGCGCGTCAGAGGAGTCCGGCGGCAGCCTCTTCCACGTGGACCTGAGCGCGCAGTCGGCCCTGCGCTCCTTCGTCCTGGTCTTCTCGCTGTCGCTGCACTCCGTGTTGGAGGGGCTGGCGGTGGGCCTGCAGGAGATCTACGTGGCAAGGCAAGGCAAGTTTATCTATACAGCATCTTTCAACACAAGGCCATTCAAAGTACTGTACACAAATGAAAAACATTAGGTGCATTAAGAAACAGTGTCACGGAAACACGTTATGAAATGGTCATTAAAAAGCAAAGAGAATAAAACAAGCTAATCGTGTACTTTTACTCCACTACATGAATTTAATACATTTAGTTACTTTTCTACTTTTACTTGAGTAACATTTTGACTGTAGGACTTTTACTTGTAACAGAGTATTCCTACACTCTGATACTTACTTGACCATAGAGTAGGAATACATTGTGACAAGTAAAGTTAAAAGTACTTAAAGGGGACCTATCATGCAAAATGGGGAACTCACGCAGCGTCAGAAAATAAATCCCTCTCTCTTTTCCTCCGTACCCAAATCTTTTAAAAACGGGTGCGCAACGAGCGGACACAGATTCCATCCGATCTGACGTCAAATCGGCAGCGGACTCACAGAAAGTTGCTATCAGAAACAATGCCTGACGTGTTTTGGACGTAATCTCGTCTTTGTTTACATTAGCAAGCCTCGCTAACACTCAGAGCTAACCTGTACTGGAGAGCACATGTGTTTAAAAAGCAGGAAATAAAAAAAAGAACTCACCTTGTGATAAACCCGCAAGAGAAAAAGCATTTGAGCTCCATACTGTTTCAGAAATAATCCTTGATGTGGTTTAGAACAGGATGGCGTTTTATCACAGCAGAATTTAACTTTATCTCCGGTAGAATTCTGATCAGGCATTAGCTCCGCCTCCTCTTTTTGTTTTTTTCAAGCTAAGGACCCAAAATCCGCGTTTCTCTAACAGGGCTGCAAAAGAGGGGTATGATGAGCAGTGTGAGGCATGGCTACAATGGGTGATCTGTTTGGTATTTTAAGCACAAAACTTTACAGACATGTTTTGTATAGGTATGGCCCTAAAATATATTTTTCCAATATAGCATGATAGGTCCACTTTAATTTTCATCAGATTCAGAAATTCTTTTTATTTATTTATTTTACAATTTTTTTTTTAATAATGGGACACAGGGATTGATTTGGAGTGCGGTCCGGATCCGGACCTTGGTCCGGAGTTTGAGAAGCCCTGCTTTAGGGTCATGCATATGTGTCAAAGGTTCAAGACTGGAAGTGGATGTTAGAAGTGTAGCCTCTAGATTTCCTAAAAGGACTTTTTACAGCTGCACCGACACATCCACCACAACATTTTCATGCATGAGAAAAAATAGGACCAAGCAAAAACATAATCGCATCAGAGACACTGTCCTAATTTTAGAAGATAAGCCGCTTGTCACAGTCAATTGTGCTCTTTTATGTATCTGGGTTTTTCCTTTTAACTTATTCAGGATAACCCGGCCAACAGTTTTTCTGTGATTTGTGACCAAAGGGTCTCTCTGTGCTATATGAGCACTATGTAAGGTGAATATAAAATTAAACCAAATGAGCTTTCCATAAATCTGCAAACGCAATAAGTGCATGATGTCAGAGTGTGAAAATGAGGCTCTTTATATCATCCAAATGGCTTCCTGTTAAGCAAGAGACAGAAAATAAGGAGGTGATGGCTGAGGAGAGTGTGACACTGACCCTCCGTCGCAACAATTCAACTCTTATTGCCTGGGCTCCTTTCTCTGGACAGTTCTACAGGGCGGCTGGTGCTGATCGATGAGCGGTGGCGTCGGAGCGGGCTATCTCTCACCGACACTTCCACTGCCCCCGCTCATCTATCCTCTGTGGGAGTCTGCGCTGTCTCTGGCCACCCCGAGAGGCTGGGTGGCCCCCCCCGACTGATGACCGCTGGCTTAGCAGGAAGAACACATCCATCTGTTGAGCTCAGGGCTCTCTGCTTCAATCATCGCACCTTCCTCATCTTCCTTTATGACTGATTCATATATGGGAGTAACGGATTACATGTGACAGGATTGTGTAATCAAGATACTTAATGGAAAAGATTACTGTCATCTCTTACAGTTATTCCAAAAGACAAAATCAGGTACATTAAAACAAATTGGGGATTGCAAGCAGGATACATTTATGTTTTCCCTTTCCTATGGGCTGTTATAGGTTTGTGTGCATGTAAATGGTCGGCAAAGGCTAAAACTCCAAAGTTCACACCAGAGGGAGTTTCTCTCCCACACATTCGTGGATTAGAGAGAAAGAGAGGGTGAGGGAGGAAGAGGAGAGGGAGGGACATGCATCAGACATGCACCATTGCGCTCTTCATACAGGGCAATTTATTAAAATTAATAACGCCCAGCCTTGCGCTGAAGGTTGAGCCCACAATAAACCTGACAGCGCTAAAGAGAGGCTGTGAGACTTACGCGTCGTCAGGCAAATAAACAATGTCATGTCAGTGTCCACTTTATTATCTGCACTGAACTCTTCCAAAGGAGTTAATTGCTTTCTTTTAAGCTCAGACACAGTCATATATTTCATCATTACCCTAAAAAGCTACACAAAGATTGCTGTAAGCCTCTTCGCCTTCACGGGCTTAGAATCACACTGCGGACCAATACAGCAGTGCACTGTGGGATGGGAGGAAATTAGAGCCAAATGGACATCTTAAATCCGACAAAGATGGTAAGAGGGAATGCGCGCTCACTATCTGCTGTAAAACTGTCCGCTCCCTGGACACTCTGCATTTATCACCTGACATAGCGCGTTCCACAAGTATGCTAAATTGGATAATGAATCTCCCCCCCCCCCAGGAGATGCAATAGATGAATAATTTGTTGCTTAAATTACGAGCCGGGGAGATATTGTATCATTCGAGGTGTGAGACGGTGTTGCTAAGGTGCTGTTTACACGAGAACGCAAACGTTTCTCTTTCGTGTAGCCCGTTCGTTCACACGAGGCCGTAACGTACCAGTAGCTATTGCTACTGCTACTGACCATGCTACAGATGTTAGTGCAAAATCTACAGCTCCTCTACCACAACCATCAGCAACAAGTGGACATGGAGAACTACATGAATTACATGTTGCTAAATCCACCGCGGGGTATAAACAGAAGGGCAACCATAGCAACCATGCTCGGGGTCTTCTTTGCTGCTTTTGGTGTATTTTGTGGCGAAAGGGGGGGGTTGGCATCAGAAAATACAGTAGCCTACTATTAGAAATCAGCTGTTTATTAGGCTGCAAGGGGTAATTCTCACCTAAAGAGGGAGGACACTCCTCAGATGTCTTAAACACATGGGACATCGTAAAACAGTAAACACACAAGCATACAGTAGCGTAGGCCTACTATTTGTTATTAGTTATTAGAAATCGGCTGTTTATTAGGCTGCATTTATGCAGTTCAAGGGATAATTCTCACCCACCTCTTGCTCTTGCCCTGCACTTGTACAGTATGTGCCAATTTAGCTGGTTCTTCCACCAGCTCAACTCTGTCCCTCATCATGAACGCAGGCTGTATATCTGAACCCGCGCCCTCATCATTCTCTTCATCATCTTGCACTTGTTCTAAGCTGCTGCTGATAGTGCTTGTAGCAGCGCTGCTGCCAAAAAGGTCTATCAATTTGCGACATTTATATGCTTCACCTGCGAGTGACTTCACCTTTTTTTCTCTTGTCTTATCGGCCCCACCTTTTTCTTTTCGTTTTCTTTGATCCATGTTTTTTCATTCTCCCTGGTTGCGGTCGAATAGTCCAAAAATCAGCTCCTAACATCTACCCCTATCGTCTATCCCTTGACCTCGGTGTGACACGTCACAGGGTTAAGGGATAGTGGATAGGAGAATTCAAAAGGATTTAGGAGAAGAGACTGCGGTGCTTTGAGAATCCGACTGCACTTTCACTATCCAACGTGTTTATGATGCGCCAGCGGACGTCATAAATGTGCGTCTGCTGCTGTGGGGAAACTATGGAAACTACAGTTTTCTATACAGCAGACTACAAC